ACGGCACTGACACAAACCCACAGCCAACCACGGAGGGGCTCCATGTGGCCACGTCTCTGTATACACAGCTATAATAGGCACCTACTCTCAACAAAGACCCAATAAACTCCAAACCCAGCTGCCTGCCATTCGAAGAAAGGCAGCCTGTCATCAGTCTTCAGACAATGGGTCCGTCTGACATCAGTAATCGCATTAATCTTCATTTGTCCAATCACATCCTGTCATTCTTATGCAAATAGGACATTTGAGGATGCAACTTTTCTTCCAGGCAGGATGTGAGGGGCAAAGGGGAAGGGGCCTACGAGGCCCGGGGGTCGCCTCCCCAACCCCCCCAAGCCATCACTCCCTCTCCTTGGCTTGTGTTTCCCATCAGAGTCAATGTGTTTGACATTCAAAAATGAGACCAGCATGAGGTAAGACAATCTGATTCTTTAGCATCAAGTCCTGGGCTCAGAACACTCGCCAAGGTCCACCGGGCCCCTCCGGCTGAGCCGAATGGAAACGCAGCTGGGAGACGAGGCTGGGCAGGGCCCACGGCAGCTTCATTCCCCATGTTTGCTGGGCACATGCTTCCAGGCTCCAGATCTCCGGGGGTGGGGGGAGTATGTGGGGGCAGGAGGCGCCACGGGGAGGGGAGGTAGGAATCAATGAGGAAGGAAGGTAAAAACCCTTAGTTAACCTTCTAGACCAGACCAGAGCCCAAAGTGGATGCTGTCAAGATAGATTTCTCCCAGGACATCAAAATCAAGGGATCATGAGATTATATACACCCAGAGTTGGAAAGCAAACTCAGGGGCCATATTATCCAACTGCCTCATTTGAACAGAGAAGGAAACTGAGGCCGAGAAAACTGAAGGGACTTGCCCGAGGGTCACACAGTGAGAGAGGCAGGGTCCAAAGACAGGGTCCTCTGACTCTGAAAGCCAGCACGTGTCCCTTTCCACTGTACCTGCTGGTCTCCATTTCCACATGGAATTCTCCTCTCCCCCCGCCCCTCACTGCAATTTCCTCAGTCAAACCAGGTGGCAAAAACTGGGCTGACCGGTTTGGAAACAGGAAGTCCAACGGATTGTCTCTGAAGGGGTTCTGTTTCCACAAGCAGGTGTCCCTCGGTCTACCTGCACTGATGCTTTCATGTAACCATGGTTAAGTAACAAATAGTCCCCACGATGTTTTGACGCTGAGAGAAAAAAAAAAAGCAAACAACAAAACCCCCCGGAAAAGAAATAAATCTCCAAGACCCTGGGTATGATTGCTAACCTGAGCTAAGACCAAAGAGGAGGCCTAGACTTTGGGCAAATCCTATCCTGACCAAAACCAGAGGCAGATACTTCCCATTCAGACCTCATCTGCCTTTCTGGGGCTGAAGGTGGGAACAGCTCCAAACAAAGTCAGAATGATCTGTGAATTGTGAGTCCTGCAAGCATACATCCCATAAGGCTCTATGGCATCAAACGCACCATGCTGGTGACTGCTGATTCGGAGAGGAAAAGAAAACCAGGGCCTGCCCTCACGGGGCCTACACTCTACCAGAGAGACTGAACACCTATGAAGACAAATAAACACATAAAATAATCTCAAGAGGCCAGGCACACTTGCTTCACTGAGGGGGTAGCAATCAGTGAGGTGGAGGGCAGCCGGGTTAAGTACGGCGCACACCACAGAAGGCTGGACACGGCAGGAAGAGGGAACTGGCCCACCGTGGTCTCAAAGGCTCTCTTGTGGCTGGGTAGCAGGACCAATGTGTGGTTTTGCTATTCAGCGGTCAGTAGAGAGGCGCCTTTAATTGGTGACCTGGTTAGAAGCCTTTCTTAGTGAATTTTTTGGTCTCATTTTAAATGGGTATGTGTCACTCACCACCAGGGGAAGGTCTGCATTATGTACCGCTCTTGACCTAACAAACAGAAACACAGACACCCAATGGCAGAGACATTCACCCCGGTCGTCCCATTGCTCCTAGAAAAGAGTCAAAGCTCTAGGACGGTTCTAGACCTGCTCGGGTCTCCCTACATCCTGGGGAAGCCGTGGGGCTGCCTGAAGGATTGCTGGTATCTTCAGGCCTGGTCCAGAACTAGAATGATCTCCCGAGGTGATCAAACGGAGAAGGGGGCTACAAAACATACGTGAGAGAGACCATCAGGCTGCATCTCCAGAGTCAGAGAGGACTTCTAAATCAATAAGCCCAACCCTCTCATTTTACAGATGAGGAAACTGAGACCCTCTGGGACTCTGACGTATGCTGGCTGTGTGACCCTGAATGAATAATGTAATCTCCAAGTGTTGGAGGCAATTCTCCAAGACCAGAAGTTGCAGAAAAGGTGTCACCCTCCACTGGAGGAAGTCTCATTCCCGATGAAATCACAGTTCCAGTCGCTATCCCCACCCCTTTATAAACATTACCTTATTTGAGCTTTGTAACAACCTTACAAGACAGGTAGTTTATACCCATTTTAAGGAGGAGGAAACTGATCTGAACCCAATTCTCCCTGACTCCAGCTCAAGGATTCAACCATAAATCCATGAGACTAGCTCTGGGGAATCCAAGCAGGGCAGGCTTAGTATGATCCCTGACACAACAGAGAGCGACGTGGAGCAAGAAAAATGACCGGAGACCTCTCGATGCAGGAAGATACTGATCCCCACAGCCCAGGCGCACGGCAGAGCAGCCCAGGGTTGGGAGGCCCAGCCTCTACGAACAAGAACTCTCTCCAACAAACTCAACAGGCACCCTCCGGTTTCCCCTTGAAGAATTTTGATGAAAGGAAACCAAACATCACCTCCGACAACATATTCCACCTCGGGGCAGTTCTAATAGAGCATTTTTCCTTACACTAAGCTGAAATCTCTCTCTCCCTTCCCCCTTTCCCTAGTGCTCCCCTCTGGGGCCAAGAAAAACAAGGCATGGGGATTCAGAGCTACACTCAACTGACTTAGGATTACAGATCTGGAGCGAGAAGGGACGTTTGAGGTCATTTAGCCCAATCCCATCATTTTACAGATGAAGATACAGAGGCACAGAAAGGACGTGACCCAAATCCCATGGCGAGTAAGTTTCAGAGGCAGCATTCCCACCCAGGACTGCCGACTCCCAAGTCCACAACTCAATCTGTTATGCCACATGGCTACAGCTTAACTAGGGGCACAGACATGAACGTGACTTCACCGACAGCAGGGTTTGTGCGGACACGCCTCAGAAACCTTAATTTAAGGCAGCTACCAGGCCTTCTGAAGTCTTTGCTTCTCTAAGGGGAACACCCCCATTTTCTCCAACACGGGGCAAGCTCTCCAATCTTCCCACTCTCACGTGACACCCTCACTCAAATGTGATGATGGGTTTGTTTCAGACCAAGCAGGGACGCACTTTACCCCCACATTCACCTGAAGAGTCTTTACTGATGCCTAAAGAGTCAGCTGACACTGAAAGCTGTCAGTCAATATGCATTTATGAAGTGCTCACTGTATACAAGGCACTGTGCTAACTTCTGGGCACCTCTAACACGAAATCTCATGCTCTCCTTTAAAAAAAAAGGACAAAAAACACCAAGACCAAAAGCTCCATAAGGCGAAATCTGATACAAGCCAGGAATGCCCTAAGGAAGCTACGCTGGGAGGGGAGTGATCCCATGTGCCTCAGCCTAGGAAGGCAAACACAGAAGGAATGAGGGAAAAGCAATAATAGTAAAAAATAACAGTAAAACCTATAGGCCGGCCTTCCTACAATAATCCTGGATCTTCAGCCCTTCTCCAGCACCCTAAGGGAAAGGACAGCCTGGGGCAGGAAGCAACAGGGAATTAAGTCAAGTGCCGCCCTGGCTAGCTGTGTGACTCAGGGCAAACCACTTAACCCCTCACCTTCCTCTTCTGCAAAATGGAGATAATCACAGCACCCACCCCACAGGGCTAATTCAAAGACCAAATGGGATAACATGGAAAGTGCACTGCAAATTTTAAATGCCAGCTGTCATCATCATCACCTTCATCATCATCATCATCATCATCATCATCATCATCATCATCATCATCA